ATCTACTGACTCTAGGTTAGTAATACTAATTTTTAACTGTATCTTCTTATGAAAAAAACAGTTTCATCTTAATGATTTCCTTCCATTTTCTTCACATTCTGCTATTATATAGCATCCATTGGTTAGATCAGTTCACTAGACCAGCGTTTGCCAACTGGTGGGCCGTGGCCCACTGGTGGGCCGTGAGAAAATTTTGGTGGGCCGCAGAGGAATCTGACACCCAGAGCACTCCCTCAAAGCAATTAATCCAGAAACACAAGGCTGCGCTGTCCACATGGCCCACAGGAACGTTCCCCGCCCACTCACTCCTTACCTGGCAAACTTGCCTGCTAAATAGCTATTTTTCCTTTTTCCGACCATCATCTGTTCTGCTGCGCCAAGAGATTTAGATCAGCTAGGAAGCAGGAAATGGTTGGATTTCTTGCTTTCTAGCTAGTCTTTAGATCTTCAGCTCTGCTTTTAAGCACAGCCGAACCTCCCTTAGGACTGTGCAGACTCATGGCAAGCAAATTTGAGAGACTGAGCTAGCCGATGGCAGATAGATAGATCACTGAATGATTCTGTGAGCAACTCAATCTGCCTGCCTGCTTTGCCTGATTTTGGGTAAAAGTTGTTCTTTTTTAAAATAAAAAAATCAATATTTACATACATGGTGTGTTATGAGTTAATTTTATGAGTTTGCTTGCAAGCAAATTTTATGTGACAGACTGAGCTAGCCAATGGCAGATAGATAGATCTCTGAATGAATCTGTGAGCAATTCAATCTGCATGCCTGCTTTGCCTGATTTTGGGTAAAAGTTGCTCTTTTTTTAAATAAAAAATTCAATATTTACATACGTGGTGTGTTGTGAGTTAATTTTGTGAGTTTGCTTGCAAGCAAATTTTATGTGACAGACTGAGCTAGCCAATGGCAGATAGATTTCTGAATGAATCTGTGATTCTGTGAGTGACTCAATCTGCCTGTCTGCTTTGCCTGATTTTGGGTAAAAGTTGCTCTTTTTTAATAAAAAATTTCAATATTTATATAAATATTTTAAATATTTACATACAAGCCCAGCCAATCACATCATCACCAAGCTACAGCCACAAATTAGGCCATGCCCACAGAACCGGTTAGTGGTCCCTGGGATTTAAAATTATGAATTTGGTGGTCCCTGTGGTCCAAAAGGTTGGCGACCCCTGCACTAGACAACATTATCTCTATATTTAGAAGAAATTAATTTTAATTCAAGCTATTCTTATCTTTTTTCATATTGTTGTAATTTAAAATAATTATGTTTATTTTAAATTATCAGAGACTTTAAAAATGTAAACCTACTTTCTTCCTTAACTATATATGTCTTACAAATCATCAGAGTAATGTATTCCAAGCAAATTATTTTATTTGCTGATATAAAATTACCTTTGAATAATTAAAATTTAATTTCATTCAAGTAATTAATTTATAGTTAACAACCACACTGCATTTTTCTAGAATGATGATTTTTTGAAACAGCTTGTGGATTTGGAATTTTCCTGAGCCATTAAATTATAACTACCATAGTGATTTCATTGTCAGTTAAACAAAGCATTATATTTTAAGTACTGCTTAATTAATCAAGGAAGTAACGGGCAGTAGGAAGAAAGCAGAGCTGCTTAACTCATTCTTTGCATTCTTTGCTTTTGCAGTCTTCATGCAAAAAGAAATTATAGCCCAACATATCAAAAAAACTACTGTAAAAGACAAACCAGAAATAAAAATTAAAACAAGCAAGAAAATGGTAAGAGAACATCTATCTGACCTTGATGAATATAAACCATCAGGACCTGATAGATTATATCCCAGAATTCTGAAGAAGCTGGCAGATGTTATCTCAGAACCACTGTATCAAATCTTTCAAAAATCCTGGAGCAAAGGGGAAGTACCTGAAGATTGGGAAAGGGTTGATGTGGTTCCCATCTTCAAGAAAGGTGGGGGGAACAGACCCAGGAAATTACAAACCAATCAATCTAACATCAATACCTAGGAAGATCCTGGAAAAAAATAATCAAAATTGATCTGCGAACAACTAGAAGCAAATGAAGTTATAAGCAGTAGCCAACATGGGTTTGTTAAAATCAAATCATGCCAAACCAATCTTATTTCATTCTTTGATAAAGTGACTAAATTAGTAGACCAGTGAAATGCTGTAGATATAGAATACTTAAATTTCAGTAAGATATTTGACAAAGTAGTCGAAATAGTGCCTACTTCTTAATAAGCTAAAAAAATATGGGATAGACAACATCAACACCAGACAGATTTGTAGCTGGCTGAAAAACCATACTCAATGAGTAGTCTTAAGGGTACTACATCCATATGGAGAGAAGCAAGCAGTGGAGTACAAAAAGGCTCTATCTTAGGCCCAAATTCTTCAATCTCTATAAATGATTTAGATGAGGGAATAGAAGGAGAACTCATCAAATTTGCAGATGATACTAAACTGGCAGGAATAGCCAACACTCCGGAAGACAAACTCAGGATCCAAAAAGATCTTGACAAACTTGAACAATGGGCCCTATCCAACAAAATGAATTTTAATGTGGAAAAAAGGAAAGCTTTATATATAGAAAAAAACAAAGATGTAAGTACAGATTAGGCAAGACCTGGTTCAAAAACAGTAACTGTAAGAGGGATCTTGGAGTCCTACTGGATGATCATTTGAATATGAGCCAGCAATGTGCAGCAACAGCCAAAAAAGCCAAAACAATCCTGGCTTGTATAAACAAAGGTATAGAATCAAGATCACATGGAATATTAGTGCTGCTTTACAAAACCCTAGTAAAACCACACCTGGAATACTGCAACCAACTGCGATCACCACACAATAAAAGAAGATGTGGAGATTTTGGGAAAAGTTCACTGAAGAGCAACTAAGATGATCAAAGGCCTGGAGTATGGCTGCAGATTTTGAGTTTGGCTAGTCTAAAGAAAAGAAGAATTAGAGGTGACATGATACCAGTATTTCAGTATTTGAGGGGCTGCCACAAAGGGATCAAATTATTCTCTAAAGCACCAGTGGGCAGGACAAGAAATAATGGTTGGAAACTGATCAAAGAGACAAGCAGCCTGCAATTAAGGAGAAACTTCCTAACAGTAAGGATAATTAACCACTGGAACAGTTTGCCTTCAGAAATTGTAGGCACTCCATCACTGAAAGTTTTTAAAAAGAGACTAGACAGTCACTTCTCTGAAATAGTATAGGTTCTCCTGCTTGAGCAGGGGGCTGGACTAGAAAACCTCCAAGGTCCCTTCCAGTTCTATTCTAAATTCTAAAATTAATCTGACATATGCAATATCCAAACTGATTTTTTTCCCTAAAGAAAATATGACCACCTTTTTAAAAATAAATACCATGATATTTTAACTAAAATTAAAATTAATTTAACTTTCGGGTTGACAATTTCTTTTTCACAAATTACTATATAAGCTCTCATTTATGTTATTGGGGAGAATTAAGGAAAAAACATTATAGGTGACACTGAAGATTACAGAAAATAATAATTTACCATTTATGGTTGTAGTGCAGACCTGCACAAATTATCAGGAGAAAGGGCCACATAATTTAAAAATCCTCATAGACTACAAATACTAGAAGTATAGAAGTATGTGCCAGTCAGCTATTTGTTGGCTAGCAGAATGGCAGAAGCTCTGTAACTGGCAGCAGTGGCTCAAAATTTGCTACTTTTTAAAAAAATATGGGCATAAAGCTGCTTGGAGAGCCACATATTATGTAGGCCAGTTCTTATGTATACAATACTGCATGTATTAAAGCTTGCTATATTTATTAAATCAGCTATATTTCTCTTCCATGGTACATACTAGATTTTTTTTAAAATGAGCAGCATGTATATAATACACTAACCTCAGTAAGATAAAGAACATTCCTGTTTGCATCTATACCGCTACTAATCTATCTAGCTATTTCTCAAATTGAAAGTGTACTTCCTATTGATTGAACTGAAATGTTTAAATATATATATTTTTCTTACTTTATTCTTGTCACCTATATTAATGTGTGATTGCTCTTTATTTTAGAGATGAAGAGAAGAACAAGAAACCAGGAACACCAGGAACACCAGGTTCTTATGACCTGGAAAAAGCCCTTCGAAGGTTGTCCCTTCGAAGGGAGAATTACCTGTCAGAAAGGAGGTTTTTTGAAGAAGAACAGGAAAGAAAGTTGAGAGAATTGGCAGAGAAGGGGGAGCTTCATAGTGGTTCCATTACTCCAACAGAGAGTATTATGTCATTTAGAACACACTCCGGGTTTTCTGAATTTACTGGCTATTCAGGAATATCTGTCAGCAGTCGTTCATACCTCCCAGAGAAGCTTCAGATTGTGAAGCCCTTAGAAGGTGATAATAAAGCTTCTCAGCATTTATCTATTCTCCTTTGTGACTATTTGTGGTCTCTTCTCCATCAGCAAGAAAGAGGAAATCTTTGTAATACATACTCATTTTACTTTAGAGGTAGCCGTCCTCATTGTTGGTTTGAACTCTTCTGAGGACAGGAATTATCCTTTAAAATAAAAAAGTAACGTATGCTATGTTTTTAATATATTCAGTAGAATATTTATAGTTTTTAGGGATTCATCTTGAATTCCTGTATTAAATTAGATATTCCCATGTCATTCAGACTGTAAACCTAAGTTTCATTGATATGAAGAACAATGATATGGTAACAATGCATTGAATTTCAACATTATAGGTTTACTGACTTTCATGCACTTCTGTGCAAACTAAAATGCTTGTTACATTGCAGTGTTACAGTCTGAAAGTGGTCCTTAATTTGTTGTAACAAATTCAAGGTAGCATTTCCTTCAAAAGCTCAAGTTGCTTTGCTTTGATCTGGCAGGCCACTTGTTTCATCAGAAATAGGCCACCATGAAGCCCGTGTACTTTTTTTTAGTATTAGGATATTATTTCAAATGGATGCTTTTCTTTCATCATCTGAATAAAAAAAAAATCTATAAGTAATAATACCTACCTACTTATATTATTCCAAAACAACACACAACATTTCATTGATTAAAGTGTAAGATTATGATAATATACATTCTCTTCTTCAAAAGAATTGACCCATGCATAAAAAATGTTATAATAAATGTCACCCAAATGATTAGTTTTGGGTTACATTTTTGGAGTTTATAATATGAATCTAACAAATCAACTTTTTCTTTTTATCTATAAGCTATTTTATTTTTTGGGAATTTGCATCAAAATGGGAAGATTCCCCCCAACACAACTGAACCAATATAAATGTTTGGCTTTTACAGAGTGCTTATTGAACAAATTAAAATATTTTAGAGAAGAGATAGATAATCAACTTTTGTCTATTGATTGTTAGTATTGTATAGGTTTATTTCATCCAGTTTGTTTTCTTCAATAAACTTTCAGTCTCCATTTTCTCTGTTTCTCCTGATTTTTCACTTTAGCTTTTTCTTTGTGTATGAAACTTTTTCTTGCATTTTGTGTTATTCACCATCTTTAAAATTTAGCATGTATCCTTTATGCACGAGATAATTTCAGAATCCTTATATATTTTGAAATAGTATTTAATTTAAATAATTGAAATTTGGAAGCTAACTTGGGGAATAGATACAGTACATGTATTTCTATCTGCTATCTAGCTATTCTCTATTCTCTATTTTTCACTTTACTTGTTTTGTTAAAAATATATAATTCAAATGCCCATAATTTCATTACAGCATTTTATTAAACCTCCAATTATTATAGATTAATAATAGCAGTTAATTTAGAGATGCTTAATATATATTATTATACTATTTAATTATTTAATTAATAATGGAAATGAAGTTATTTGTTACATATTAAGAATAAAAGAGAGGAGGAGAGAGGAGAGGAATAATGCACACACACACAAAATATATGTTAGATTGTCCAGTAGTATGAACAGAGAAACATATCGTGTCCTGTCCCATCCTATCCTATCCTCTCCTAGCTTACATTTTAGGTTATATCTTTGCATAATGGGTCCTGGTAGACCTCTGCTTCTGTGGATCTGGTGCTTACTGCTTGTTTTTGTACTACTATGAACAATGCCTCAGTGTTGTCTTTTAGTCTGCAGTGAGCAAAAGGCAAGTACTAGACTTTTTTTGTTTTTGGTAAAATCAGAATGGGAGGTAGGCACAATTCATAAGATTATTCCATATTATTCTTGGTCTAGTGATCAAACCAGGATCCTGGGATTTTTAATACTCCCTTAGGCATGAAATTACTTTGGGCAATCTGTCTCAGCCACATCCACTTCAGAAGGTTGTTTTTGTAGGAAAAATAGATGGAGGAAGGAATATTAGGTATGTTCACTATCTTGAATTTTTTTAAAAAGATGGAATGTTTTTTTAAAAGGGTAAAACTCACATTTTTATTGTATTGTTTAATTGCTAGAAATGATGCTGTTCCCCCCTCTGTCCATCTTAGCTATCTAAGCTAGCCTAGAAGTTAAGGAATAGAACTTTTCAATGTTCTTTCTCATCCCCTTTTCTGCCTACATTAAAATGGCGGAAATAACACTGAGTGTTTTTGAACTCAGTTGAATTTAAAAATGTTTTTATACAAGTCCATGTTCTTTGGATGGACAATTAGTCAAAATCTTTCTATGTAGGGTTGACAGTAGTTTTTTATTACATTGAAGTAAATTGGATTTATTTCTTAGTCAACATATCAAAGTGATATGAGATGGAGGGCCACATATTGTTGATTGAGATGGTCGCCATGTAATTAAACAAGCAAACAAATAAATGATGCATTGTGAATTTGGTCTGGGGGACCAAGTTTATGCCTTCAAGTCAGTCTTGCCTCCTGATGATTGCCAGGACAAATTCCTGCAGTTTTTTGGCAAGATTTCAGAAGTGTATTACTGTTCCCTGCTTCCAAAAACGGAGAAAGAATTATTGGTCCAAGTTCATCCAGCTGAGTTTGTGGAACTCACTATCCCCTAGTTTCTAGCCTGGTACCTTAACTAGTAAACCAAACTGACTTGTCTTAATCAGAATTATGCCATCTCAAAAACACCGCATCTATTTTGTCTCTAGTAACAAAAGTGATGTAACATAATGTTTGATACTTGCAAACTGAAGCCACATTTTTATGAAGTTTCCCACTATGATGATCTCTTGCAGAACAGTTGGTTTGAAGCAGTTATGAAACTTCATCCGCAATTAAGGTGTAACTACATATAATGAAGATTAAGCATAATTCAAATTTCCATATATACTGAATTATATCCATAATTCAAATTTCCTTACTGACCTGTTTGTTTTGTTGTTTTCCAAGGTTCTGCCACACTGCATCATTGGCAACAGCTTGCTCAGCCTCATCTAGGAGGCATCCTAGACCCAAGGCCTGGGGTTCTTACTAAGGGCTTCCGCACTCTGGATCTTGATCTGGATGAAGTGTATTGCCTTAATGATTTTGAAGAAGATGAGTCAGGTGAAATTACATACAAAGGCTTAACTACCTCAACACCGATTCAGCACACAGAGACCTCAGGTGAGAGGTCTCAGGCACGAGTGACTGTTTCAGACAGCAAGAATTACCCAAATCACTCTCAGTCTTTCCCAGAGGAGATGCAGAAACCTGCAACTGACAATGAGAGGTCTGGTGAGGGAATCTCATTAAATCCAGCACAGCTGCCATGTTTGCAGGATTTTGATAACTGGGCCATTCTTACATCTCTCCAGAACAGCATCCATAATGTTGCTTCATGTTTAACTTCACAACACTGCACACAAGAATTAATATTAGCCAATTTCTGAACTGTGATTTCTAACTATTACTGGGTGGGAGTTTCAACCCAAAAGAAATGCATAATATTTTCTTCTTTAGTTTGATGAGAGAAGGCTGCTAAAAGGATGCAATTCATTGGGGTTCTCAGAAAAAAAAGAAGCCACTTGTTTTGGTTCTGGGTTTGCATGACTAGATTACAATTTTGTAGATTGCTTTTCTCTTGGGATTTGTGTTCTAATGCTTATATTCTAAGATTATTTAATGTTTATCTAAGGACAAGGTAATTGAGAGTGGATGGCAGAATTTCAGCATTGTTATCTGTAATAAGAGGAGTTTTTTAAAATCAACCACTTTGTTTCTTAGGATAAAATTGCATATTGGCTTAAATAGTGTACGTTTTTAATAACTGGAGGGGAGTTTGAGGCTAGAAGCCTTTCTATTAAAAATAATGCCTGATACAAAACTCTACTGGGATCAACATCCAAGTCATTTGGACCACAGAGAAGCAAAAAGGTGTAAACTGCTAAGACTATATGTCAGTTCTTTCTTGCTAATATCTAGCTATGAGGAAAAAATAAAGCCAGATAGAATTGTTATATTTATATATATATTATTATGTTTATATTTTTTCTTGCCAATTATGTTTTTCGATCCATCTGAGAAATATAGATATAGATATACAGATATACATTTAAAATAGTTAGAATTTTTTATTATCTATGCTAAGCAAGGTTATCTGCAGGATAAGGGTTAATTAGGTTGCTAGAATTCAATGTAGTCCAGTTTGTTGCCTTAATATTAGCAAATGTAGCAAATGAATAGGGACATTGCACATTGATGCCAAAAATATGAATGCTAAAGACACAGAACCTGAATGTATATATTGTTTTTAAGCGTTCTCAAATGAGCTTTCTAGAAGTAATTGTTTCCCAACGTCTCAGTATTTTGAAGGCACTGAAATTCAGCACTTTATATGTGTGGGGATTTATAGGATCCAAGTATATACTTGGATTCAGGAGACCATATTTTTTATTCTCAATTCAGCAGCAAGCTAATCTTTTGTGTTGCCGGATATCATTCCTCTGAAGTCATCTAGCTTGTGCAGATTACTCAAGAGCAAGTTGAAATTTTCTCTACAGAGCCTAAACACAAATGAAACAGACTGAGAAGTGTTTCTTCTTGCTTCATTGCTCAGCAGATCTGTAGACTACTTTATGATGTTGGGGGAAAAAGAATGGTATTGATTCGGATTTTACAATGTGATCTATAAAACCCAAAACCCAATACATGGACAATTACCTGCATAAGTGCTTGATGACTTGGGAATTGGAGTAATACTGTATGATATTTGAATTAACTGATAGAATTTAAAATATTTTAGCATTTCAACTTCAGCATCATTCTGTCTTTTGATTTACATTAGCCCATGTTCAGATGTCCTATTTGAAAAACATCCTGATGCATTAAATAGAGAATGACAGGTGAAACTCGAAAAATTAGAATATTGTGCAAAAGTGCATTTATTTCAGTAATACAACTTAAAAGGTGAAACTAATATATGAGATAGACTCATTACATGCAAAGCAAGATAGTTCAAGCCGTGATTTGTCATAATTGTGATGATTATGGCTTATAGCTCATGAAAACCCCAAATCCACAATCTCAGAAAAATAGATTACATGCAATCAATAAAGCAAGGATTGTACATAGAACAATATTGGACCTCTGAAAAGTAGACACATGCATACATATGTACTCAGTACTTGGTTTGGGCCTCTTTTACAGCAATTACTGCCTCAATGCGGCATGGCATGGAAGCTATCAGCCTGTGGCACTGCTGGGGTGTTATGGAAGACCAGGATGCTTCAATAGCTGCCTTCTTCTCTTCTATATTGTTCAGTCTCATGTCTCTCATCTTTCTCTTGGGCAATGCTCCATAGATTCGCTATGGGATTCAGGTCATGCGAGTTTGTTGGCCAATCAAGCACAGTAATCCCATGGTCATTGAACTAGGTTTTGGTGCTTTTAGCAGTGGGGGCAGGTGCCAAGTCCTGCTGGAAAATGAAGTCAGCATCCCCATAAAGCTCGTGTGTGGAAGGAAGCATGAAGTGCTCCAAAATCTCCCGGTAGATGGCTGCGTTGACCCTGGACTTAATGAAGCACAGTGGACCAACACCAGCAGATGACATGGCTCCCCAAATCAACACAGACTGTTGAAACTTCACACTGGACTTCAAGCATCTTGCAGTGTGTGCCTCTCCATTCTTCCTCCAGACTCTGGGTCCTTGGTTTCCAAATGAGATGCAAAAGTTGCTCTCATCAGAAAAGAGAACTTTGGACCACTGAGCAACAGACCAGTTCTGTTTTTCGTTAGCCCATGTAAGACGCTTCTGACGTTTGTTGTTCAGGAGCGGCTTGACAAGAGGAACACGACATTTGAAGCCCATGTCCAGGACCCATCTGTGTATGGTGGCTCTTGATGCACTGACTCCAGCCTCAGTCCACTCCTTGTGAAAGTTCCCAACACTTTTGAATGGCCTTGTCCTGACACTCCTCTCCAGGCTGCAGTCATCCCTGCTGCTTGTGCACCTTTTTCTTCCACACTTTTCCCTTCCACATAACTTTCTATTAATGTGCTTTGATACAGCACTTTGGGAACATCCAACTTCTTTTGCAATTACCTTTTGAGGCTTTCCCTCCTTATGGAGGGTGTCAGTGTTGGTTTTCTGCACAACTGTCAGGTCAGCAGTCTTTCCCATGATTGTGATTCCTACTGAACCAGACTGAGAGACCATTTAAAGGCTCAGGAATCCTTTGCAGGTGTTATGGCTTCATTAGCTGATTAGACTGGGACTTTTTGAGCCAAGAATATTGAATCTTTTCACAATATTCTAATTTTCTGAGATTGTGGATTTGGGGTTTTCATGAGCTGTAAGCCATAATCACCTCAATTATGACACATCACGGCTTGAACTATCTTCCTTTGTATGTAATGAGCCTATCTCATATATTAGTTTCACCTTTTAAGTTGCATTACTGAAATAAATGAACTTTTGCACGATATTCTATTTTTTTGAGTTTCACCTGTATTTTTCTTTGGTTGACAGCCAAAGCATAGAAAGACAAATTATACCATATAATAGTATACCGTGTAACCTGTGACTTTTGCAGTACTTTTGGATCCAGTATTGAGTATAAAAAAATATGGTTTGCATCATGATATGTTTTTGTCATAGCTGTGGATTCCTATGTCTGATCATTGAAACAGATACCAGTTTTCTTTTAAAATAAGTAATCTGAAGGGAAACATTTTTCAACACTGGATATAACATGTTCCTAATTCTGATTGGTTACCATTCAAGAGCTGGATTTCAAGCTGTATTTCTGTAAATGTAATAATGAAAATGATTTTCTTAAGTGTTATTTTGTCTTTTTACATTTTATATACATTTTATACATAGAATTTAGAACTCTTATGAAAATGCAGTTATGGGATAGAAAATTCTTACTGAAATCTAAAACAAAATTTATGTGCTATAACTTTGGTAACTTCCAGTCAATTTTGATATATGAATGAAAGAAGAGGTTATTTTATTTAACAGCACTGTGATTTTCTGCAAAAAAGAAGTAATTTGAGAAATCATTTGATGGCTAGAGAAAAAGACAGTCCTTTCAACATACACTTAGATTTTTTTCAAAATAAATAATAACAAAACCTCATTGTTGATCACATATTATCCTTTTATATGTTGGACCAAATAACTTTGAATATTGTTGAAGATTGTATTGGAATTAAAGCATGATATTCTTTTCATTTTTGAATTGTTAGAGATACTGATCACTTACGGGCCATTCACGGTTTCCTGACAGAGAATACTGTAGCCATATGAAAAGCTGATTACTGGAGGATGCTGTCCATGTTTCTCTGAGTGGTATCTTTGCAGGATTAGTCTTTATAGATTTTTAAAAAATATTTCTCTTTCATAGTCAAGAAAGCTCACCTATTAGCCTCAATTGCTACTTTTAGCAGCCTTTTCCTATCTTGTATATTAATAATAATGAGCTCAGTCTACTTTATTGCAACAGTTTTCTGCTAATATAATTCCTTAGTGAAAGACAAACAGTGTTTTGATGAAATGGGTAATGCAGATATGGAGATATTGTAAGTGAAAGCTTTTATATATTCTGTGAATAATTGTTTAATCTAAAATTTTCATACTTTTTTATTCTGCTATTATTTGTTGTCTAACACTGAGCTACTCTTTTTCTTTTAAATTTAGCTTTTATCTCCATATAATATCTTTCCATTATTGATTATTTGAGATTTTCTCAAATATTTTAAGCTGGTTACACTTGCACAGAGAGTCATGATTGCTATAACCCTTATATATCATTGTTTGCACAAATCCTTGAAGCAGCAGTATCATGAGTTTTAAGGTGATATAAATAATTTTTGAACAATGATACTATATTAGTGTATTAGCCTTCATTGAAAAATACAGACTAATACCTAACATGAAATGGGGATGATTTTTTTTACTGAGTCACTTCATTATATTAACAGTTTTTTAAAATTTCCATATTTCATATGCAATAACTCTTTTCACATAATTATCATCATTATATGATTATTTTGCTGCCAGTTTTACAGGAAATATAGCCACAATAAGCATGTAGTTTTCTCAGCCTCTCTAAATTTAAAAAGATTTTGTAAATGTAATAAGACACCAGGTTACATATCCTATCATGGATAAACAATATTTTAAAATGTAGTCACATCATAAGTGGCTAAATAATCAGAGATATATTTCTTGTACAATCATGATAATGTATTGAAAATTTTTAATCTCACCTGCAATCATGATGACTTTGCAATTGTACTTAATTTTGGATTGCTTATATGACTGTTGATGGATGCATGGTATTTTCAGTTTGTGAACTGTTTTGCAGTTGGGGCTATCCATAAAGTATGTCATATTTCAGAAGTGGAAAAAATGGCATGATTAAACAATCTATGATACTGAAAACAGAAAGAATAATATTGATAAAAACATGGTGCTTTTCCCATATTTGCTTCCTTGTTCTTGTCCTATGATCACAAGAGGTCATCAGATGCTTTTCATTTTTTGGTTCTGCTTGCAATTTACACAGGCACATCCATTTTCCTTAATAATCCTTCAATCCCCAATACTCATAATGTGTTTGATAGGGTTGAAATCCGTGCTTATTTTTTCTTATATCCATTTCATTTTTTGGTGTTCTACTTAGTAGTTGTATATTATCCTCACTATGCAATGCTTATGGGTTTCTGTTAGAGATTTGCAGTAATAAAAATTATACTAATTACACTAAAATAAATTAGAACTTTAAAGCAATATATTTTGAAGGAACAATGCAGATCAGTTGGTAGCAATAAAAACCGTATAAAATATTAATAAAAGATATTCCTTCAGTGTAGAGAAAAGTAAAGTCCTACACTTAGGCAAGAAAAACCAAAAGTACACATATAGATTGGGTGAAACCAGGCTCAATAGCAGTAACTGTGAGAGAGATCTTGGAGTCTTAGTGGACAACCAGCTAAATATGAGCCAGTAGTGTGCAGTAACAGCCAAAAAAGCTACTGCTCAAGTGAGGTACTAACACCACTCTATAAAGCCTTAGTAAGACCACGTCTAGGGTGCTGAATCCAGTTTTGGTCACCACATTATAAAAAAGATGTTGAGACTCTAGAAAAAGTACAGAGAAGAGCAACCAGGATGATTAGGGTACTGGAGACTGAAACACATGAAGAACATTTACAGGAACTGGGCATAGCTAATCTAGTGAAGAGAAGGACCAGGGCAGACATGATAGCAGTCTTCCAATATTTGAGGGGCTACTACAGAGAGAACGAGGTCAAGCTATTTTCTAAAGTGCTTGTAGGTCAGACAAGGAATTCCAAGCTTTGTAGAGATGATTTTCAGGAACATAATAAATTACATTATATTATTTTCAGTGCCTCTTATTTCTTTCCAATTTGGCTAAATGTATAATTTTTCCCCTTGTAACATGAGAATATATAGAATTTTAATTGAGGAGGTGATTTTTTTAAGATGACATACTTTATGGTCTGTTTAGCTTTGCATTATACAGTTGCACCCTATAGCAATTTGTAAATACAAATTTGGATATTGTATGGTTCTATAATCTGTTTTGTTGCAGTACCACAAAAATAAGCTATTTATCTTACATTCAGCTATTCAGCTATTTTTATTAATTGATTAATTTAATTGCTATCTGGTACACAGATGTTTTGTTTGTGTTTCAGATGGAGGTGGAAAATAAATGCTGCAGATGGGCAATAGTGGATCTATAATAGTTACGCTGAATACAAAAATAATATATAAAAAGTGATCCAAAGCTACTTGTATGTGGCAAAGATATATGAACCTCTAGATTATCAATTAATTTGAAGGGGAAATTATAGTCTGCACTTTCAATCAAAGAGATGATAACCAGGTATGAGTATAGTACATCCTACCTTATGTTTGGAAGTATTTCATAGCTTGAACAAAGGAGATCTCTAAGGACCTCTGAAAAACACAGGTTGTCCACAGATTACAATACTGTCTCTAAAGGGTTTAAATTTAATCAGTCCTCTGTCAGGCAGATTGAGTACAAATGGAGGCAATTCAACCCCATAGTTACCCTCCTCAGGGTAATGGTATAAAATATTCTGTCTCAAAGAACCCCGGGTAATATCTGAGGAATTAAAGGCTTTTCTTACACAGAGAATGTCAGTGTTGATGAGAACAACATAAGAAGAACACTGAACAGCAATAATGTGCATGACATGGTTGCAAGGAGAAGGCCACTACTCTCCAAAGAGATTATTGCTGCCCATCTATAGTTTTCAAAAGACCATGTGGATAAGTCTGAAGACTACTGGAAAAATTATCTTCAGCAAAAGGCACATCCTGCATAAGAACTTTAACCCACCTGTGAAATCTAGAGCAATATCATCAAGCTTGTTCGATGAGAAGCGAAACATTTTTAAAGAAAAACAAGGAAGTCCAGTTGCCTATTGAAAAAGCAACTTTGGGGAAAACCATGACCTGAATGACTGATAATCTCCAAAGACAAAGAATGGTTAAAACAGGAAAGTTAGTATTTACGAATGATCAGATCAAAGACTGTAGTCTTAGAGAAATGTAGGAGGAATTCAAATGGGCAATTCATGCGAAGAAGCCCATCAGCACTCCTAATTTGAAGCTGCTCTGAAAGGAGGAATAGGCTCAAATTCCTGCAAGCTGATATGTAGGATTGATCAACAGTTATCAGAAACATTTAATTGAGAACAGCACACTGAAAAGTTAAGTTCACATAGTTTTGCCACATACAAATATGTAGCTTTGGATCATTTTCCTCAATAAATCAATGAACAAATAAAATGTTTTTTACTCATTTAATTGGATTCTCTATAGTTTCAGTACTTCCTTGGAAAAATGATTGTGTTTTAGGTCATATTTATACAGAAATATTACAAATTCAAAAAGGTTCACAAACATTTAAGCACCATACTATGTACTATCATTTTTGTATCCTAAAATTTATTGTCTCTGGATCCATTACTGAATCAAAGTGATGGGATATATCTGCCTGGATGAATGTAAAAGAAACTGAAATATATGAGTTCTAAGATATTGCACATTTTTGTTAAGAGTTTATTATATCTTGCCCATAAAATAAACCTGCTAATACAGATTAAGATATTATATCTACTTCTTACAGAATTAGCATTTACCACTTCTTTATCTAATAATGTAGCAATAAGATCAAATACATAGCATTTGGATTATTTAGAATTGGGACAATTTAGCATGATAATTACATTGTTGCCTTTCCTAAGTGACATTTTATACTATTGGAAATTACCATGCCAGAATAATAAGTAGAAGTAACACTTCTTGCTATTGGCCACCCTAAACTGAGGTGGTATTCAGCAGGTTCTGACCAGTTCTAGAAAACCGGTAATGGAAATTTTGAGTAATTCAGAGAACCAGTGATTACCTTCCCCCAGGAATGGGGAGGGAATGGAGATTTTACAGTATCCTTCCCCTGCCATGCCCACCATGCCACACCCACCAAGCCATGCCATGCCCACAGAACCAGTAGTAAAAAAAATTGAACCCCACCAATGACCCTAAAGCATTTGTATCTGCTGAGAGCCCTTACAATAACAGCTGTCCCAGTAAAACAAAAGATGTGATAAATAAGACTCTTCTCATAGATATTAGTATATCAGAGGAGCTAGATAATAAAAAGATTTAGAAATATTGGATATTTATTGCACAGATCACAAGTAAAGTATAATATCACTTTTCCATCTGTTAGTTTGAGAATATAAAAGTTCTTTTAATATATAAATACAAATAATGTCCTCTCTTTTTAATGTAGTACATCATCCTGGGAAGTGCATGTCACAAACCAATTCCACATTTACCTTTACTACTTGCCGTATTCTACATCCTTCCAACGATCTCACACGAGTTACACCAAGGTAAGGGTTTTCAGAAAGGTGTTTTAGTTTCTAAATGTAAAGAAATGTTAAGTGTAGTCAAATAAGCAAGATGAGTTTAATAATCATGTTTGACACTGTCTTAATTTAACTTACATATATGCATCCATCCAGAATCTGTAAACTTGTTTTAGTTTATGTACACCCGGTACAAGTAAAATAACCTAGGATGTCACTCTTTTAATCCATGATGTTCTAACTAAAATATTTTTTAAAAATATTCTTATGCTGTTGCAATTCACATTGGAAGAGTAATAGAAGATGCCTCTTTCCCATTCTTGTTCACACCCTTTTATTGCTTTTGTTACTTCTTCTTTTCTGGCTGTCTTCCTGTTGCAGGACAAAAACTGTAACTTCTCTGAACTCTCTCCCTGATGCATGTTTGAACAGCTGTCATTATTGCATACATACATATGAGGAACTGGACCAATCAGATACTGTTTTTTGGTATATTTTTTAGAGTAGAAGAGAATCATGATCCCTCCTGCTTTGTTGCTCAGAGGATCTCACTAATCTTCTGCTATAGACCCAAAGAGGGGGCCTGGTTGGTTCACCTTTCTACCAATTCTCCCACTTTAGCACTTAGAAGCAGCAGTAAGGCCAATGGAGAGAGAGAGAGAGAGCAAGATTATATGTATGTATGTATGGCATTCAGCTTTGTTCGG